TTACCAGAACTACAGGGATGGTTTATATGCACAGATCAACCCTATAGCTGGAAAGGAGGAAACCGGGTTATTGGTTATTCTTCTTAAAATACTTGAAAAGGTGGGCCACCAGGATCTCCTGCTTCATGTACCAAAATAACTTCACTGGCGTTGGTTATGCTGCAGCTTGATGTGAGGGGATGAAGGTGCCCTTTGCTCTTATTTATTTATTTATTTATTTATTTATTTATTTATTCATTCATTCATTCATTCATTCATTCATTCATTCATTCATTCTTCTGCCTAAGGCAGCAAAACATCCTGCTGAAAGGTTTTCTAGAAATGGATCCAAGGAGGTTCACACCAGGCAGGATTCCGCTGCCTAACCAATACATAAGACGATGCTCTACGACACTGGTTCTTAACCTTGGGTTACTCAGGAGTTTTGGACTGCAACTCCCAGAAGCCTTAACCAATACATAAGACAATGCTCTACGACGTCACTTCATTGTATGGGTGTATCGTATTGAAGGTCCTGACTTTATACTGTATAGTAAATATAAGTTGTATTGGCACCACAAAACGAGACACAAAACAGCTGCAGTGTTGGACAAAAAAAGAAGGAACCAGGGAACTAGAGACTGATCAGCCTTACATTAATCCTAGAGAAAAGGCAAATGCAATTTTAGGATGCATCAACAAAAGTATAGTCTCCAAATCCTGTGAGGTACTAGTCCCCCTCTTTTCAGTCCTCTGTTCATCTAGAGTACTGTGTCCAGTTCTGGACACCACACTTTAAGAAGAATGGCAGCAAACCGGAGCATGTTCAGAGGAGGGCAACAAGGATGATCAGGGAACTGGAAACCAAGTCCAGTGAGGAAGGACTGAAGGAAATGGACATGTTTAGCCTTGAGAAAAGAAGACTGGGAAGATACAATAACACTTTTCAAATACTTGAAATGTCATTCAACAGAGGAGGGGCAGGAGCTGTTCTCCATCATCCCAGAGTGCAAGACATATAATAGACTCTAGCTACAGGAAGCCAGATTTTGGTTGAATTTCAGGAAAAAGTAGTACGACTTATTATCATATGTAGTGGTCATGTAGAGTAGCGAAACACTATTGGAAGAGAGTACATGCCGTGCTGGAACAAATATTGTTTTGTAAGGTTCCACTATCCCCAGAACTATTTTTATTGAGTATGACGATAACAGAGATAAGGCAAAGAAGTATATAGTTATATACATAGTCACTGCAGCTAGAATTCTTTATGCCAAAAACTGGAAAAGTCCGATGGTACCAAAACAAGATCTTATAGAGAAGATCCGGGAAACAGCAGAAATGGGCATTTTATCAGGAGTGATGAAGGACTGTCCTCTACAAAAGGCAACTGAAAGATGGGACTTCTTCTACAAATGGTTTGAGTCATTAGACATCGCTTGAAGAACACGCATTAGAATGAGAACTTAAATCTGGAAGGCAGAAAATAGCAAAAAGAGCAATTTGGAATGTTGATATGGCAATATGTATAGAATGGATATTAGTATGTCATTGTTTCTCCTCTTCCTTTTAACCTCAATTCCTTTTTCCTTCCTGTTACCCTTTGTTAAAAATAAAAAAAATTAAAAAAGGAAAAGGTAGTATGACAGTGGAATCAACTACCTGGGAAGGTGATGAGCACTTCAAGGCATTCAAGATAAAATTGGATAACCATCTGTAAGATCTGCTTTGATTTGGATTCCTGCTTTGAGCAGAGTGTTGGACTCGATGGCCTTAGAGGCCCCATTCCAACTCAGTTATTCAATAATTTTATGAAAATATTTTTACCTTGCCTTTCTCCTTAAGAAGGGCCCCAAGGCAGCTTACATTGTTAAAGGAGAGGAGGTGTTCAATTTGCTGATATCTCAAAGTACTTCACTTATTTGCCACTTCACAACATTGGAAGGAGCCAGTCCAAATAGGGTATCTTGAACTCTGATCTGGATGTCAGGATCACACTAAATGACATATCACACCTCCACCCAACCCCAAGCAACTCTGTTAGCTCACATCAGCCCACTCTAAGACAGCTAGTATAGATGTGTCCTTAGTTAGGAGTGATGTAGGTTTAGGTAATTTTGGAGAATAGCATACAGAACATGTGACAGAGCCACAAATACTGAAATCCCTGCTTTGAATTTTGTGTTGGCTGTGAACTCACTAGGTGCCTTAGGCAAGCTGCTACCTCACACTCAGTTCCCCTAGTTGCAACATGGGGATAATGACATTGACCTACTTAAAGCTACTGGGTTCTCGTAAGAATTAACAGCAAGGTAATATATATGAAGCATTCTGAGCCCTGCCAAGCATTATGTAATGTAATGTTGACTAACATAGAGGACTAGGTGATATGGACATATCTCAAACCATTCAGCTGGCAGAAGATTATTTAGGCAAACAGCTGCTACCTGTTCCTTTTCAATAGGCCTTCTCCATGTAAAATATGTGTGGTATCACTACATGGCATCCTTTCTGTAGGAAGTACAGTGTTTCAAAACAGTTTTAATTCAACCTCCAGGTGCTATCAATCTAAATTTTAATTGATTCAGCTTTGGAATCATGTATCAACTGAGCTGTGGTTTATTATTTGAATGGTTTAAATGAAAAAAATATTGTTTTTTGGATATTCTCGTCACCCTGCATCTAATTTTAACCTTTCAAGAATACATTGAACCCAACATGAAGGATTTGCCAGATTCAATTTGAGCTCTTAATTTGAGATGGCCCCTTGCTCCAGGGCTTGGAAAACTACCCAATGGAAAACTAGTCCGTGGGGTTAGACCAGATGACTCTCGGGATTCCTTCCAACTCTATAATTCTGTGATTTTACCCTAGGGTCAAAGCTTTGGAGTACAACTGCCAGAGGCCCCCCAAACAGTATGGGCACTGGCCATGCTGTCTGTAGGATGCTAGATAGACTAAGGACTTGCCATAGTTTGCTGTGATCCACACAGTCAAAGACTTTTGTGTAGTCAATGAAGCAGATGTTTTTCTGGAACTCTCTGGCTTTCTCCATAATCCAGCGCATGTTAGCAATTTGGACTCTAGTTCCTCTGCCCCTTCGAAATCCAGCTTGTACTTCTGGGAGTTCTCGGTCCACATACTGCTGAAGCCTACCTTATAGAATTTTGAGCATAGCCTTGCTAGCATGTGAAATGAGTGCAATTGTACGGTAGTTGAAGCATTCTTTGGCACTGCCCTTCTTTGGGATTGGGATGTAGAGTGATCTTTTCCAGTCCTCTGGCCAACGTTGAGTTCTCCGAACTTGCTGGCATATTGAATGTAGCACCTTAACAGCATCATCTTTTAAGATTTTAAATAGTTCAACTGGAATGCCATCACCTCCACTGGCCTTGTTGTTAGCCAGGCTTTCTAAGGCCCACTTGACTTCACTCTCCAGGATGTCTGGCTCAAGGTCAGCAACCACACTCTCTGGGTTGTCCAGGATATCCAGATCTTTCTGGTATAATTCCTCTGCGTATTTTTGCCACCTCTTCTTGATGTCTTCTGCTTCTGTAAGGTCCCTACCATTTTTGTCCTTTATCATGTCCATCTTTACACAAAAAGTTCCTTTATCTCCAATTTTCTTGAACAGATCTCTGGTTTTTCCGACAACCATCTGTCAGATCTGCTTTGATTTGGATTCCTGCATTGAGAAGGGGGTTGAACTTGATGTCCTTATAGGCCCCTTCCTAATCAATTATGCTATGAATTTATGATGCCTAAATGGGACATTGCATGGGGAGCCCATCTATACTATCCAGAACTTCATTATTGAAATTGTATGGGTGGCAAGTGGTGAGGTAGTAATACAGTAAATAAATAATATGACTACAGGTTTGTTGTCAAGGACCACTAACATTACCTTTGTATAAGCATTCTAGACAGTAGTAGTGGGATACATATTTAAGTGAGGGTTCTAATAAAGAAATCTTACATCCAGCCTCCACTGAATGCCCCCCCCCAAATGCAGGCAGCTTTAATCATCCATATCAACAGACTTGTTCTAGCAGGGGTTTTTTTCATCCCTCTTCACCCAGTGTGGGTCTTTTTAAAGCTTGATGGTTCTCAATTGCTATATCAGGTTCAAGGTCTCTGAAAATATTCTGCACCATAACCATCACAACAGTATATTATTGCTAGGAGAAAAAACATTTGCACATCAGCTGCTGTGTTTATAATCCACCTGTGGAGCAGATGGCGTTATCATGGATCTTAATGGGAAAGTCACCTTTAGACCTGAGAATTCACAGGTGTACTGGGACACTGTACTATGGTAAGAGATGATGACCAGTGTCTTCCTTTTAGTCCCAGTTAGAGTCAGACTCACTGACTGAGGACGTGATTAGACAGCAAGAAAGGTGCATGTCTGTTCACAGCAGAAAAAGGTGGCTTTAAGGGGGATTGCTGCCAGGAGCAATCTTCATTGAAGTGACCCTTTCTGTCTGTTGGGGAATTGCTCCAGCCCAGTCTCCAGAAGTAGTCTTCCTACTGCTGGACCAAAAAGATCCATTTTGGACATGGAGTGGAATTGGACTGAAGCGCTATTGCCCAGACATCATGTTATCACTGGGCAAGGGCTCATAAGCCGTCCAAAATGTGAGTCATATGCCCATGGGATCATACCTTCAATGGTATTAGCAGATTATTCAGTGGGTCTACTCTGTAACTAAGTGGGTCTACTCTGTAACTAAGAGGAGCACCAGGATACTGGCCAGTGAGACTTTTAGGATATGGATTCTCTACTTTGAGAAATTAAACTCTGAGAATCGAGACTGTTTTTGGACTGAACAATGTTTACATAGGGCTTGCTCACCACAGTGAGGCTGTCTGGTTCCCGAAGCCTGTGGACTCCTACGCTTTGCTGGGAGTATTTCTGCCCTTAAGAAACAACTGTTGCTTCCACGTGATGCTACGCTGAGAGAGCAAAGAAGCCCAAGCACAGGTGTAGCCCAGGCGGGCCTGGCTGGCTGGCTCCTGAGAGGGATGAGACTAGTGCTTTCTTCCGTCTCCTCCTCCTCCTCCTCCTTCCTCCTCTTCCTCCTCCTCCTCCTTTGCACGTGCTTCTTTTACCACACTGGCTTTCAAGCTGGCGTGTGAAATGTTCTTATTACCTGTCGAGTCAGCCTTACAGGAAACCTCAGCTAAACCAGGTCACCCAGAGCATGTCCCAGTTTCTTCTCCACTTGAGTTTTATAGCAAGACTTTTTCGTTGGTGGAGAAGGTGTGCGTATGTGTTTGTGTGTGTGTGTGTGTGTGGGGGAAACACGGTCAGACGCTGTCTGGAGGAAACATGAATGAGGCAGGGGAATTCAATGTGCCTGGGAACCAGAAGGTGTAGGTAAGTTTAAGCTTAGCTGGAAAAAATATCGCAAATACTAGACAGAGCACGCATTAATAAATCAGGACCTTCTTGCTGGATCTCTGAGTCTTCTGCAGTAGCTCTTCAAGGATTTCTGAGTCCAATATATTCGTGAAGGGTTTCACGGCCGGGATCTAATAGTTGTGGGTTTTTCGGGCTCTTTGGCCATGTTCTGAAGGTTGTTCTTCCTGACATTTCGCCAGTCTCTGTGGCCATGGGCATCTTCAGAGGACTGGAGTAGGAACTCTGTCCATGCTCTGTTGCTGTTTGTTGGATAGTATTACTAGGATTTCTGAGTCCCTTTATTTAACAGGAGCAGAATCACTCATTTTTGTTTAATTTTGGCCACTGTTGGTTTGTTTAAAAAAAAACAAGTGGTGGCGGTGGCAATTTATTCAGCTTTTTGGATTTGATTTATGAACTTAAAATTTGTTTAAAGAAAAAAATGCATTTCTTGTGCCTGACTATAATTGGACCTAAAGGGTCCAGTAATAAAAAAATACAAAAGTAGATTGCACAAACCTGAAGCTCAGCTACTTCTATTTAGAGTGGCTAGACTTAAAACAGAGATGTTCAGATTTGTGTTTCCTCTTTTCCCTCTTGTTTGAGGTTTAACTTTGGCACCCTTTATTACCACCTGATTATTGGTATACTGAACCCCTAAAACCAAGACTCAGATGTCCTAATAGTCTTTTTTTTTTCCAACTGATTGCAATGTATACAATTTTTACTATAGGAAAGGTGAACCAAGCTGCACCTTCTCCCAGACAGTCCATTTTGGGACGTCATGCCCTGAGTAGAGGGGTGGGGGTGGGGGGGTGAGAGCTAGCATTAGAAGTAGTGCATTATTACCATTGGCACTGAAATCTTAAAAGCTGGCTAGGATGTCCTGGGAGTGTCTCTAGAATGGTATGTACTATCACCAGCAGCCAAGAAAAGGATGAACTCCCTAACAATCCATGGGAAGAATCTGTTCGATAGGAGCTTTCTACTGCTAAGATAAGCATAACAAGGGGGTTTAGCTGGGGCATCAACATATCATTTTCTGTGTGTCCCTTGATGCTGTTGTTCTCAGTGCAAACCTTATAGCAGGAGTGGAGTGAAGTCTGGCAGGGACAGGCAAGAAGGTAGGATCTCCTGTTAGATCAGCAAAAACAAAAAAAATAAAAATAAAAAGAATAAAGAAGACAAAAAAATGGTAAGAAGTTATTCTCAATAAATGAGCAGTGGTTCCCCTTAAGAGGCTCGAATCAAGAATGCATGAAGAGAAATAGTGTTTATGTGAAAAGATGTACACGTTGAGATTCATTTCTGCAGCTGATGTGTGCTGAGCATGTGCTTCCAGGGGCAAATGTTTCCTCAGATCTGTGTCATGCCTTCTAGAGCTGCAGTTTTGCACCGGGCTCCTGCACACTAAAACCTTGAGATTCTGTGAAAAACCAAATTAGATTCCGTATGTTGAAACTCTTGATGAAGGACAGCAGGAAGGACAACAGATGGCGAGGAAAGATTAGGGTTGAGAGGGAAAGGGAGGAACTGGGAAGTAGTATTTTAGTCAGAGCAGCCTGGGAAGGTTTGGAGATTTTTGGAGAGAAAGTGGCACGTTCAAAACTTTTAGAACTCTCTATTTTCTTCCTGTTTCCTTTGTCTATTTTTTTTTAAAATCTCCTTCTTCCACACTACTTTGGTAGGAGCCTTTCCCTTTCTTTCTCCTTCCATTCCCCTTGGTTGGATAACTCAGTGGTTTAGATATCCCGCTCTAGAGCCAGGGATTAGGTATTCAGTTCCCCACTGCGCCTCTTGTAAGTACAGCCAGCCTATGTGACCTTGGGAAAGCTACAGAGTCCCAAGATACCCCCAAAATAAAGGAATGGGAAACTACATCTGAGTACTCTGGGAAACCCTGAAAAGGGTTACCATAAGTTAGAATTTACTTGATAGCATATTATTATTATTATTATTATTATTATTATTATTATTATTATTATTATTATTATTATTATTATTATTATTATTATTATTATTATTATTATTATTATTATTATTATTATTATTATTTATTTA